CCCTAATCTGTCAAAACAAAGGGGGAAGGAGATCAGGGAAGGCTCGGGAGTCACTGGCAGGGGGCGCACTGTTTCCCTTTTTTTAAAAAAACCTCTGAGCATTTATGTTTCACAGGGTGCGAAAGAAGGGCTTTGCACCTTTATACAATACGCATACGTGCTTGGGCCCAGGGTCTTTTGCCTCACCATCCCCACTACTGACTCCCTGTTGCTACTCAGCCAAAAAAAAAAAAAGTGTCCCTGGATTCATTGAAAAAAATCTGGTAACCGTACCCTAACAGAATGCAGATCACAATGGAAAGAAGGCTCCCCACCCTTGCACTAAAAACTATGAAGTGCTTTATAAATCAAAATCATATGGAGGTGCATATAGCTACTGTAACATTAAAACTTTAAAGTATCAGAATAGGTCTTTTCTTTTTTACTATTTACTATTTTTTACTATTTACAGTGCCTACGTAACAAGCAGAATGCTAAATTTAAAACTGTTCCACACCTCTAATGATCTGTCTGAACTGCAAGGATAATAATCAGGTATAGGTATAATCATCCCTTCTGTAGCCACATGTGTTAATTATATTAAAAGGTTTGCTAATCTCTCACTAACTACAACATGCTGCATAGTTGTTAACTTTGTAACTAATTAATGAAAACAAGATTCTTGTTAGTTTTCTATTTGTTTCTAAAGTTTGCAAAATTAATGTAATATTTCATTGGATCAACTTTTGCATGCATAGTCATGAAGATTTTCTATTACACAGAAGTATTAAGAAATGGTTTTAACTGGCTTATCACTTGACTGTTTTAATTGATAATGACTTAATCCATTTTAAACACTTAATTATTTATTGTGTCATTATTTTCTTTGCTCTGATATTTGGCCTTGTGTAAACACATAAACTATTTTTTAAAGGTTTTGTGCTCTCAAGAGCTTGCAGATCCCATTACAACAGAGAAATCTCATTTTCTCATTCAAAAACAACATGAAGAAGTCTTTGTCAGAAATCTATTCTCATATTTCCAAATCTGTAGAAGGAATGTGTCTAGTTTCTCTGAACAGAAAAAGAGCAGCTGGAAGTTTACTCATTGATATCTACAGACACATTTAAAAAGTATGCATGATACTTAACAAGAACAAGTGAGAGTTCATTCCACTTTGATTTCATATGTATCAGAAACACTACCACAAACCTGTAACCTGAACTCTGAGGTTTTAATAATGCACAGTTTTAGGAGGATAGTCTACTGGAATAGTATCTAGGTCACTAGCTAGAATGAGATTAGTGAAACACTGCTAAAGCAGTTCATAAATGTTTTTTGTCTATATCTATATATCTCCTACTCACATCAAAGCTAGCACTTCATAAGCTGAACAATAACTTCCACCAGGAAAGGCAATTTTTAAAAGATCAAAATCAGATTTCTTTTTTAGTTTCCTATAGACAAAGACTGTTGTCAGCTGTTATCCTATCTGCTACCTCATGCAGGTAATATTAAGAGCGCCTGCCTAGCTGTTTCTTTCCTGCTGATAATTCCTTTGGATAAAACAGACAACTGGTAATTGTCTCATTTCACTTGACACTCCATTTAGATAAGTTTCAGTCGAGGCTTTTGCAACAAACACTAACTCCCTGGAGTTGGAACCTTTCCCTCCTAACTTCCTCTAAGGCTTGAAAGAAAAGAACAAACCTCTTCAGCTATCATAAATGCCACTGATCTGTTTGCATTGTCATTAACAGCCTTTTTGTTCTTCGACAAAAACCAAAATATATCCACTACACAATATATAAAACTATCTTCCTTCTTCACAAAATAATTTATCCATATTAGGACAATCTTTTTCAATGTGTAGGTGGAAAATTGAAGAAGAAAAGTTAGAATCTTAATCCTAAAGGTGGGTGAAATGGGATGCAACAGTTGCAGGATCCTGATGGAAGTCCAGAAAGAGGTTCACAGATACTATACTGTATCTAAATTCTACAGAGTTCTTCCAAAGGCTTCATGGAAAAGGTGGGTTTTCATGAGGGATTTGATGGAAGAAGGGGACTTGTGGATGACATCTGGGAGGTAGCTTCAGACATAAGAAAGGAAGTGAGAGTGGGCATCATGTTTTTTGGGATGCAGCCAGGATACCTTTGGATAACCAAGGGTCACAAGCAGGGATTTCTTAGAATGCAAGAACAGAGAGATACAGGTTGTAGGGAAAAGTTTTCAAGATAAAGAGACATTTACACAGCATCAGAAAGTGGACTGCAGCCAGCACAGGGATTTAAAAGAGTTTGTACTGTTTATTGATATAAATTATACTTTTAGCATAGACAGTAAGCCACTTTGAGGGCTACTTGTAGGTAGAAAATTGATTATTTATAACTTTTATGTATATGGCAGACAACAACCAACTATATATAATCCAACATAAAAATACAAAACTGTTGTTTTTAAGGGATTTAATATACTTTCAGATTGTTACTTGACTGTAACCTTTGGGATGAAGTGATCAATGAATCTAACAAACATATAGGCATACAGCAACACGGGTCAGTTCAGTAAAATATCTTGTATGTGCTGCATATGCAAATAATCCCCAGTTCTACTCCAATTTTATTGCCACCAAGCCTTGGTTCTGTGCTGTAGAAGACATAAACATGACACCTGTCTACTTTATCTTAAGACTGGAGGCTGCTGTCCACTTGAAATTCTAACATGTCACAAGCTGCACTGGCTGAATCAGTTGTGGCACTTTGTGCTGTTTTAATGGCAAACAGGAGTAAGCCCAGGGCTTTTTTTCATCTGGAACTCACTGGAACTCAGTTACGGCACCTCTCAGATAGGTGTCACTGCCTTATAAGAGAACATGAGAGGTGTTCATGGTGAGTTCCAGCACCTCTTTTTCTAGGAAAATAGCACTGAGTAAGCCTATCTTTATTGTTTAAAAATGAAATTAACCAAGTATGTAGTTTCATACACCTTTATTTCCTAATGTCAAACTTTAAAATAAATATGCCAAATACAGGAATCTGTGCATCAGTTTGCAAGTAAAAGCCCGACAATTAGACAGCTCTTCAACACTATCATATATTCTGCCAACCTTCCTCCGTTCTCAGTAATGAATCCTGCTTCTCAACTAACTGTTTCAGTAGAATAGTACACTGGCACCTATACTATGTGAAACGTTTTCCTATTAAAAAGTAATTACAACACTCAAAGAAGACATTCAGAGTGAAGTACTTATGACAATCAACAGATCGTACCCACCCACCGAAAAAACACAGACAACACTAACTTTTCCTTCTATGTCTCTTCTGAACAACCTCCCTCCTGGCCCCTTATGAAGAAAAAAATCTGATCTATTTTTACAGTCCAGCACATTGGTATTTTGGATATTTTCCAACAATTTTTTTCCAGGCCTTTACAAATAAAAGCCAGATATGATTTAGTTCTTCACTCTTCATTCATTAAAATAAGCAGACTTAATAAAGAATCCAGGAAATACATCTACTCAGCTGTATGTACACTGAAATCAGTAACAATTTTCACTGCTGCCGAAGAATCCATAGTATTCTATCGTTCCTGAATCAACGAAGAATACTACATTGGGGGAGGGGAGTGTGGTTACAAGGTAACTGTACTTAAACCTACAGTGTTTTGATTTCCGACATTCTTAGTAGCTTATTTTACTAGTTTATCATTACTATTCTACATTAAGTCAGAATCCATAACTATTTTTCATGCAACTCAGCACTCAGCTTGTTGAAGGTTAATTGTAATTCTTCCTTTTTTATATGGTTGTGAATCAGAGAAGGATCACCTCCCAGAACTTTTTCCCATGAGTAGAGACAAGTTACAGAAACAGCTGGTGCTTCCTTAACAAAGCACACAAATCATTTATCTGAATTGAGAATATAGATTTGGATGTTTACCTGTTTTCTCCCTGCTTGTTGTTTGAAGGTGGAGGATGCAACACAGTTTGATTCCCTTCCATCTCCACAATGCACTTTGTATTCAGCTCCAGCTCTGAAACATAATGCAACTGAGAATTTCAGAACGTTCCCTTACAAAATGATATATACAGCTCATCCCAAGCCAGCAGGGCTTTTCCTGTTTCTTTCTTCTTGTGTCTAGAAAACAACTCCCTTTTGCTGCTAAGAGTGTAGGAAATGGCATGGGCGTTGCTCTCCAAAAAAAATGTGGGGGAGGGAAAAAAAGGGGGGGAAAGGACAATCCAAGAGCAAAAAGTTGGAGACCTACAGATTGACAGAGGCTTTCCACCAGTGCCCAGTCTCATTGCCTGGCTTGTATGTTCTCCGCATGTTACCCATGTGAAATGATACAGCCAGCCATGCACTAAAAGGGTGGAAAGAAGACCACTCTCTTGCTTTCATTAACCACCTTTTGTAACAACAGCTGGCAAGTTAAGGCAACCAAGTCACACTGAGCGGTGTTGAAAATCTCCTCCGCCCCCCAAAAAGTGACCATGTAAGCCATTTCAGGGCACCATCTCCAAGACTAGGAGATGATAGTGTCAGATCCTCCACTGGAAGTGGGGAAGAGAGAAGAAGATCCACAGCTTTTAGTCAGCTGGGACAGCTCAGTCGGCAGATCATGAGACTCTTAATCTCAGGGTCATGGATTTGAACCCCACATTGGGCAAAAGATTCCTTCATTGCAGGGGGTTGAATCCTTGTGGCCCCTTGCAACTTTATGATAGGTTGCATAGAAGCCAACTCCTAGGGGCCAAAGTCCGTCTGAAAAAAATCCGGTAACTTTACTTCGGAAACCCCCATAAAAAAAATCATATACCCCCTCCCCCCAAGTTTATGGGCATTGCCATTCAAACGGTGTGTGCTGTGTCATGTGATCAATTATGCGGGGCGGGGCTCATCTGCCCCCCCCCCGCTCCATAAATGTTGGCACCCCTGACAGGTTTGAGAAATCGCCCCAAAGCCAGCCAGCTTTCCCCACCCACCCACCCACCCACCCAGCGAGCGAGCAGCCCAGCTCCAAACAGATTTACAAGGAGCCGACGGGGTTTGCCCTCAACTCCACGCCCCTCGCTGCAAGAAAAGGGAGGCTGCGCTCCAGCGGAGAAAACCAAGGGGGAAGGGCGGGGCTTCATGCTGCTCACCGCGGGGCTCACACCCCGAGCTCGCCGCTCCCGAGACTTTCGCCAGGAAGGGCTAGGCAAGAGCTTTGCTCAAGCCAGAGGGGACACCCTTCCCTTTTCCTCGCCCCGCCGCCAATCCAAGGAGAGAAAAAAGTTCAACTCTGCAAACAAGTTGGAGGGGCGGAAGGGAGCGAGGGGGAAAGGTGCTTCTGAGGGGTGAAGACGGGGTTAGTGGGGACTGCTGAGAGGCGAGTGTGAGCCATCTCCGTCCCATTATTATTATTATTATTATTATTATTATTATTATTATTATTATTATTACCTCTCCTGTTCATGGGCCGGACTCTGACGGCCACTTTCACCTTCGTATCCGACATCTTCCCTGGCGGCGGCGGAGGCGGAGGCAGCGCCGGGTGTCCCGTCCCCCTCAGCAGCCAGCCAGCTCCCTCAGGGGTCGCCCTGCCGCTTCGCGACGGAGGGCAGAGAAGCGAGAGCGAGTCTCGCTCGCAGGCGGCGCGCGGCGGAGCCCGCCTCTCCCCTCAGGACCGCGGCGGAGCCTCAAGGCGAGGACGACGAGGCTCCGTCGGCGGGGGAAGCGCGGCGGCGCCGACGTCCATCTCACGCCGGCGGGGAAGCGGCGAGTCGGGAGGAGGCGAACCGGCACCAAGCGGCGGCTGAGGCGGAGAGAGAGGAGCTTCCCGGGGACGGCGGCGGCGGCGTTTCCCTCAGCCTCGCCTGCGCGAAGAGCCCCGCTGCCTTTTCCCACAGCCCCGTGCCTGCTGCTGCTGCCGCCTCCGCCTCCTTCTCCCCATCCCAACCGCCATCTTCCAGCCCCCGCGGCGGCGGCTCCTGCCTTCGTTTCCCTCCCTCCCTCTCTCTCCTCAGTCTCTGCTGAGATTCCTGGGTCAGGCAGACGGAGCGAGGGCGGGCGGGCGAGCGGGGGGGGGGGAGGAGGAGGGAAGGGCGCGTCGGAAAACGACGGAGATAGCCGAGCGTCTTCGGCACTGAGGGGATCGGGAGTTGGGTAGCCGGGAGCTAGGCAGGTGCTCCTAACGGTCATGCGCGAGTTCTCTCGGGACCCTCCGCTCGCCAGGAATAGGAATTTGCGCAAGCGCAGATTGAAGCGTTGACGGGGAGGGAGGGTAGAGTGTGTTTCAGGCTTGCTTCTCAAGCGGCGGAGGCTTGTTTTCCTCCTGCTCCGCTTCCCCCGCCTCTACCCTTTCGAATTTGGTGTCAAGTTGAAGAGTGGGAGGAGGCGGCAAAAAGCGCACGAGCCCTCCGGGCAGCCGCCGCCGCCTCGCAAGGCTAAGTTTAAGGCAGCAGGAGGGTTGCTGAGGCAGCGATGGGTCGGGATGCGGCCCCGGAGGGAAGGAGCAGGTTGAGATGCAGAGGAATGGGAAGCCAGAAGATGAGAGCTGCCCATTTTAAGGACGATCGCAGCATCTTGAATTATAAAGCTACCCGAGATACTCTGCTCCACTCTGTGCTTTTCACTTGCGCCCTTTCTCAGCACGGTTTAAGAACTGTACTTTTAACATGAATGACAGGGGCTTCCCAACTTTTTGAGATCTTTAGCCCCCTTCCTGCAACATATAATCCATTTTTTTAATCTTGCTATTTTCCTTCTTTCTCCTCTTTCTCTTTTAAATTTATTTATTGATACGTTTTGAAAGAGATCCAAAAATACATACCCCTTATAAAGTATCGTTTTATACTGGTTATATATAATTTCAACACAAATCTCTCTGATTACTCCCAGGCCTCCCCCAAAATGTTTCCTGCTCTGCCAGCTTCCAGTCCCTATATTAAAGTCCTTCCATACAACATGGATTAAATCTTGCCCCACAGAGAAAGGTGGCAAATTCAAAAGGAAAAACTAGGAGTGCATTCAAATGTATTTTCCTTTTGACGATTCAGTCACTTGATGTCAAGGCCTACCCAAGACATTTTGCACCTGAGCTGTACCCCAGAATGATGGACCCCTCCCTCCCAGCCAAGGAAGAAGAGATCTACACTTTATTCTTGCTGAACTTCATTGGGACAATTTGTATCGTATGTTCTTTGGTGTTATTTTTTAAACTGTATATACAGATTTGAGTTTGACTATTGTAATTAATAAAAGTTTGTCTAATTGTTGGTGATCCAGAGTTCATCTACATACTCCGAAATGTTAAAAGCAGCCTTTTAAAGTCACAATAATTTTTGAGGTAGGATCCATCATTGCCCATATCTTTCTGAGGTCTTGAGGCAATTAGATGTACATCTTTGTAACATCTTTGAACTAATCCAGCAATTGGAATGAATTTGATCTAATCTTAAGTTTGCAGTTCTGCACACACGCGGAGTAAGTAAAGGGATTTAGCACAGGATTAAGCATGTTAGTCACACATTAGTCCCATTTAAAGCAATTGGACAAATTAGTCATATAGCTAACAAGTCCTGTTTATTTCAGTGGAATTGATGACTAACATAGTGCAGACATCTGATAGATCATAAGTAGATCTGAGTTTAATGGGGCTTTCCCCAGGTCAGGGGTCTGCAACCCGCGGCTCCGGAGCCGCATGTGGCTCTTTTACATCTTTGCCGCGGCTCCAGGGCGGATACTAGCGAGGGGAGGAGGCGCATTGTGCGCCCTGACACTCCTCACTGTGGCGCGCGCTGTACTGGCTGTGACGTCGCATGGGGGCGGTGCGTGCGTTAGTCACGCACCGTCCCGACGTCACCTTCCCGCCCGCTGTCAGATCGCGGCTCCGGAGATATATTTGTTTTAAATGTCGCAATGGTTTTGCGGCTCCCAGTTGTTGTTTTTTCTTCAGAAACGGGTCCAAGTGGCTCTTTTTGTCTTAAAGGTTGCAGACCCCTGTCCCAGGTAAATGGGAAGATTGCAGCCTCCTCTAGTCTGGATCCAAACCATTTTGGATGTTGTGGTGCATTCCAGTTACCATGCAGCACAACAGAAAAGGTACATAAACGTTTTGATAAATACCTCTGCATGAATAACTTATTTTAATGATGTTGAATTAAAACTCTGTAGAAAATAACCCTATACTCTCAAAATAGTGAGGAGAAACAATGATACCCCCCCAAAAAAATTCTATTATTAAATCTGACAAAATGAGCCAGCTATTACTAAATTATTCTGGCACTATTACTATTACTGGCACTATTACTAAATTATCCTGCAAAGCTACTTGCTTCTCAAAAACAATGTTTTTCTCATTTGATCCCAGTGCCATAGGCAATGTGGAATTTGTTTTAAGTAGGATGTGAAACAATTCAAAAGCATTTCACATCCAGAGAAATGAGGTTGTACTGTTGAGTAAGATGTCATGATAAAATTAAATATTTACCATAACCTTGTTTATAAATATCAATGGAAAATTTGTGACTTAGGCACTGGCCCAAACCATGGATTATTTCAGTAAGGGGCAGGGGGGGAAGTGATTTCTGTTTATAAGCAATGTACAATAAACTTATTCATATGCAATATTGATCACATATAGAGAGAACAAAGTTAAAGGCACAGTCCAGCTAAAGTAGAGCATGTTAAAGTTCAATTTTGATCCCACTTGTCTTGACTTTACTTGCCTTGTGCTATAAGCAATGGGGAATCACTGTGTATAGCTTTAAAAGTTGTGTGTTTATGTCATCAGAAGGTAGTTCGATAAATATAACTGCATTAACCATTTTGCATCAGGCACCCCTGATTTACTTATGGTACATGTTTACTTAAATGATTTCTTTGCTATCCCAGGGATGAAACAACAACAAAGCAATTTTTTGGCATCAAGTAGTGTTGGAAGGAGAATTGCACTGTACCTCTAAACTGTCCGATTTGTATAACAAACAAATGGGACCTGCAATAAAATGTTGCATTGGGGAGTCCTTGTATTCAGGGTTTGCTTTGGAAAACATTATGCCTCTGAATATCAGTTGCTGAGAATCATAAGCCCGGGGAGTGCCATTGCACTTCTATCCCGCTTGCGGGCATCCCATAGGCATCTGCTGAACCACCCTGAGACCTGGGCGGTATATAAAGGTAGGTAAATAAATAAATAAATAAATAAATAAATAAATAAATAAATCTGGTTGGCCACTGTGAGAACAGGATGCTGGACTAGATTATATGACCGACCAGGGCTCTTCTTATGTTCTCTTTTTTCCTTCCTCCAGTCTCTCATTTCCTTTTAGTTTCTGTCCTCAATGCCTTTTCTTCTTGTCCTTGCTGTCTTCAGAAGCAACAACTTCCACAAGTAGGTTGTGCAGTGCGACCAGCTGCAACAGACTCAAAACATGCTTACCAACTCCACCACGGGCATCTGAATCCAGGGAGAGAAGAAGGAGCAGTTGAGCTGTAGGACACCAGCATTCTTCCCTCTCCACTTTGACAGTGACTGGGCGGGCCTTGGGTGTTCCCACAAATAATTTCCCCAGGTGGTCGCAAAAAGTCAGGGAGGGGTCTTTTCTGGCCAGAGGTCTTCAGGCTAACCTTTCTCCAAGCCACACTGCTTTAAACTATTTCAGGATGCAGCAAGAATGTTATTTAGGATTTAACAAGTTCTCAGATGGAAGCTAAATAGCTTTGTGGTGTTTTGTTCTTTTTAATGTCATTTGCCAAGCCATAAAATGAGGTTTTCTTGATTCCTGCAAATTACACATCAAAAATCTCCAGGTTTTTTTAGGAACTCCACCAACAAAGTTTTACAGTTTGTAACAACAGTCAGGCACACACAGTTCTCTCAGACAACAGGAGAAAAAAAGGACAGATTTCTTTTGTCTAATCAATAGTTTAATCAATCCCGTAAATGCCACTGTGGTGGTATGTTTTATGATGGGCAGACAGGAATCATAAGTGAAGCATTGTGCGAGAGAGAAAGAGAAAGGAGGATATTGACTCTCAGTCGCCTTTTCTTCTAATGTAGAACACAGTGATTACCTTTGGAAAAGAGATTAGAGGTTCAAAGTTCCTATATTTGAGGCTCTTTGCCCTACCACATTCACTCTAAGTTCTCGTTTCTGCACACCCAGCTCTGGAAAATGAATTGCTTACCCCCTAAAAAGCAATTAACTGCCACATTCAGTTTGTGACATGTACAACATAAATGAGCATGAGCTGCGGAAAGGACAAGCCTTCCATTATTCGCCCCTCCCTAAAAAAGCATTCACTCTCTTCATCATTACAATAAAGAATGTCTGGTATGCAAGTATGGCTGAAGCAGATCCCCACAGTTCTATTGTGAACATGAATCCTGAATTGAGATGAGGGGCTCCTGACAAAACAAAGCAGGAGGCCGGCTGGTAAATACTGTTAGGTTATTATTTATGTATTCGGGACAAATTTATTTTTTAAAAAAATTCATTTTCAGACAGCAATACATAAGGAAGGAAATTGTACAACTTTGCACTTTAAGAATGATCTGTGAAAAGCTGTAGATCATCCTGAAAGCTATCATTCCAAACTATAATGAGCAAGTACCAGCTTTCTATAAAATGGGCAGCCCATTTGCTTACCTTCCTGGATTAGCAAATAAGTAGTAAAGTTCACCATAATGGTAGCATCCCACAATCTATAAAGCTACTCCAAATGTGGCAGTATGCGTGCCAGTATCTGTCCACACACACAGAGATAATACATACATTGCTGCTTCTAGCTACTTATAAACTTGGCTTGCTGATAAGTTCTCATAAATATCCAGATAGAGCATTCACTGGCTGTTTAGGTATTGTTTCTGTATCTGCCTCTTACTTTGAGTTATTAAAAATAAGATACCCCACACCTTAAAACTACAAGAGTTGTCAGGGAAAGCAACAAATACACCACAAATACTCTTTTCATGAATAAGGGTCAAAGTACATGTATAAGGAAGCCTGAATATATATTGGAAGGCAGTTTCAAAAGAGTGATTTTGAGCAAAGCAGTGAGAAATGAAAGGGTCTTTACCTAACCCTTTCCCTACCAGTCATTTTCTGTTCAAAAGCGTCTGGGCCATCCCCTAAGCAGCTCTCTGGAGATTCAGACAGGGGTTTGCCAAAGGAAGCCTGTTGGCATTCGTCCCTGATGGGTTGGAGACACTTGAGACACTTACACAATATCTTATTCTTCTAAAGGCCATTACTTGGCAACTAAGGATGAACTTACAAAATTAAATAAAAATAAAGGTCAATTGGCAGTCCTATTCCCAAATTCTATTTGGAGCTTAGATCTCTGCTTCTTGGAACTGCTGCCACCTGAGAGCTGTGTTGTAGAATTTTAAAGTCTTTGCATTTGTTAAATAAGTACTTTTATGCAGTATTCTCTGTGTAGAACACATTTTCTGTTTCTGATATAAAATTTGCACCTCTCAACAGCCTTCACTGTTTAAAGGATCATGGGGAATAGGCAATTGGTTTCTGGGGTGGTGTACTTCTTCTTGGAGCTCAATTTCTCCCCCTCTGAAGGATAGTTTCCGTGGCAAGGGGGCATGAGCAATAACACAATAAGTGCATCAGTGGTGGATTTATAAAGGATACCCCCCCCCACGCCAGTCCACTTTATTAGTTGTTCCACAATATCCCCTGATGTTCCTGCATTGCTGTCTGGCAAGTCACACTTGCTCTATAGTGCAACCAATATGGGACTAAAGAAAATCCACAAACCATTTGTGGTATGAAATTCAGCAGAAAGCTACTGGTCATACACTGACTGGAAACAAAGCAGCTATGGCTGCCCCCGAACTTTTGTAGGAAGAAAGAGTATTGACCATCCCGATACCATCATAAAAACAAATCACTGTAAATGCACAATAGGAAGGACATCTGTGGTGGGGTTCTGAGACAGTTTAAATGACTGAGAGGCAAATCAGACGTGTTCTGTCTACAGTGTGTTGCTTTCAGCAGTTTTGCATTCACACTCTAGGTTGTGGATGCAAATGTGCATCTCTATCAGGACATGCACCTGAGCACTGATTCCACTGAAAGCAATGCAGGATGCACAAAACAGCATTCATACTGGGATGGGAAAGTGGATGCAGATCCCATTTTGAGCCATGGTTCCTGATCTAGCAAATAGTATGTGCAGGGAAAGAGATGTACTTGCTGGAAAAAGCATGTTACGTTAGTTGGATCAGGTGTGCAAACACGGGTTTGGGTGGTGGGAGGCAAAATATCCTCTTTTCACTGCCCATCTCTTCCTCCTCCTCCTGCAAAACTGCAGATTCCTCCACTTGCGTTCAAAGCATAGTCAATGCATTAGACTAAGCCACTTATTTTCATTAAGAGTTGATGGGTTGCTATGCCTGCTACTAGCTCTTAACAGAAAACAATGTGATTTGAAACTCAGTGCATCATTGTATGTGACAGGGTGATGAAGGTAACACTCAGTGGGGAGGGGAATCACTGTTGTAGATGTTGTCTTGCAACATACAGTGCTCACATTTATCTGGAGTTCCAACAAACTTAAATAGACCAATAGAAAGGCATGATAATGGTGCTTTTCAATGTACAGAGAAAGCTGGCCATAGATGGAGCATCTGACAATTCAAGGATCGAGGCAGCAGCATCCATCATTTTCATGGGGCATCCACAGTACTCCCAAATGCACCGGGAGACATAAAACGTGGAAGACTATTCTAAGAAAACAGAACTGCACATTCATAAATAAAATTCATAATGTAGGTGTGAAGGCATTACGGATTTCACGGTGGGGGCAGTTTTTAGTAGGATGCTGAAAGATTCAAGTCTTGTGGATTATTTCAAATAAAAACAAAAAGTCCTGCGATCCAGTTATAGATTCCGCCTCACATCAAGTCTATTTCAGCCCTGAGCTACTGGACAAGTTGTATTAATAATGTTGCTATAGTTTATCTTGTGGGATATTTAAAAACAACTGTAACAAATCGGGGGAGGACTTTGGTTTTCAAATTTCAGTGGAGCCCTGTGCAAGGCCAAAATTTGGTGCCCCCCCCCAAATGCAACATAAGTCATGACTCTGTTCATCCCATTTTTTCAGTAGCTATTAAGTACAACTAACTTAGGCTCCAACTTTTTAAAAAAAATATATAATTCACAGTTTAATCTTCCGTATATCCGAATCTCTTCCCTTCCTACCACCATCTCAATGGTGTCTGTTTTGGCTCTCAGTGTGTAGAAGGTGAACTGCTGAGTCAGCCAGAGAAAAGTGCTTCCTAATCAACAACAGCATGGCATGATACAGTGACAATTTCATCATTAAAAAGATCACGTTTGCAGATAAAATGGAAGATACACCCCAGAGTTCATTGGGTCCTCTCCACGCTAATGTAATTCCACAATTTTTTGCCACAAGTAGGTACTGGACTTCCAACATTTTCCCCACAACCAAAGGAAAAGAGAAAATGACTATCTTTATTTCATTATTAAACACAATGAGATTTAAAAATACCGTAATAATCTCACAAGGTCCTAAGTCATCAACATCTTGATGCATTAAACCTTTCCCCCCAGGTCAACCTGTAATGTTAAAACTTTTTTGTAGTATTTCAAGAGTTTTTAATTTATTTCTTCCTTAATTTATCAAAGAGTAAGGTAACAGTTCTACCAGAAACAGTGGGGAAAAGGCACTGCATTCCCCCCCCCGTCCTAACAGCCTGATTATCCCATGCTCATTATCCCATGATCAGAGATTCTTTAAGCTCATCTCAATAACATTCTAAAAACACTTCTATGTTATATTTAAGAAAACAGAAATAAATTGTGTCTAGTGTTACTAGCAATACACTGGGCCTTCTGTTTCTAACAGCAACAAAAATTATGTATTGTAGTGGGGGGGGGCAAGATGCAACCAAAGGGATCTTTCTTTCTGATGTGTATGATTTTAAAAAACTAAAAACAGCCTTTGAGGCCACAAATTTCAGTCGAAAAATGGAAGGAAGGAGGGGTTATGTAACTTTTCTGCCAGCTGCCCCCCCAACTCAAAATTAACCCCAGGTGCGTTTCTCTGTACAGTGGTACCTCAGGTTACATACGCTTCAGGTTACACACTCTGCTAACCCAGAAAGTTAAGATTGCTTCAGGATAAGAACAGAAATCGTGCTCCGGCGGCGCGGCAGCAGCAGGAGGCCCCATTAGCTAAAGTGGTGCTTCAGGTTAAGAACAGTTTCAGGTTAAGAACGGACCTTCGGAACGAATTAAGTACTTAACCCGAGGTACCTCTGTACAGGAAATATTATATTGGCACCTGTATTTTTTCTTCTATGGAATTAAAGGGGATGTGGTGCAGAAAAACACCAGAAAGGAAATGGTTAAGCAGCCCTCCCCCCCCATTGTTTTTTAACTGAAATTCATAAAAAAGAAGCACAGCTGTGTGTAAGGCGCAGTTCGTAGTTCGGCACTTTACATTCATCAAAATAAAGAGTTTTTACTTTTTTATATTTAAACAACAACCCAAAAAGTACAATTAAATCACAGTTTCTTTTAAATCTGCAATGGAAAAAATATATAATATAACCAGCCAAACAGGCACTCCTTCTATAAATATGTGTAGTTACAACGGTCACTGACAGATTCAGAGGTATTCAGAGGTATCCAATATAAAGCAGATGGAGATGATCTGTTCTATAAAATATACACCCAGCGGAACACCCTTGAAAAGGCAGGTTTGCACTAGTTTAAATGGCTTCAAGGTGTGTGGGAAAAGCTGGTTTAATGGCATGGCCATGAGTCATTCCCATGCCTCCACCATCCTGAACATGCCCCTTCTCTGCCCCGCTTTGTTCCACTTAAATGCTTTGCAGGATGACCTGGCAACACATCTGGTGAAGGCATCTACCCCCAGTGTAGCAGCCCTGACTAATGCTGCCACAGTGTTGGATTTCTTGGGTCAGTTTTCAATGGCCAGTGCAATGTCATAAAACATGACTTCCTAAACCTGGTATCCTCCAGATATTTTGGACTGCATCTGTCATCAGTGCTAGATGGGAAGGCGATGCAGCTGGAGTGAATGGAACCTGTGGTCCAAAAGACCCAGAGGGCACCAGGTTGGGGGAAGATTGCACTAACCAATGCTGGCCCATTCTCTTAAACACTCATTTGCTTATGCAAGGGGGGGGCGGTGGTCATACATTCTGGCTGAAGGTGGGCTTTCACATGTGCCATCGAAAATCCAAGGGAAACACAAGCCTGTCTACAGCCCAACATAGAAAGTTACCAGCATTGTTCACGTACAGCTTCTCTAATACCCAACTGCAGTAACTCCTTTGGCAATGGCCAACATAAACGTCCAGCACCTTAGTTCAATGGGATTTCCTCACTAGTCTGAGGTTACAGTACGTATCACAGCCTTAAGTAGTCTAGTTCACATCCGCTGAACTGATTCCACAATACACAACATGGATAAGACTCATATCAGCTTCTCTCTATCCCTCTCAATTTATTTATTTGGTTTTTCAGATTATAATTTTACTGTCACATATCCAACATACAACATAGAAACAAGATTCCAAAGAATATTCTGGACTTCCCTCCTCCTCTTTGTGGGTCCTATTGTTAATCATTTCCTCCTGCATCTTTTATAATGATCCAAATCTTTTACCTCTCCATTGTGTTCAAAATTCACCATTAAACTACAAACGTTACTCCAATCCTACTAACGATTTTAACAATGGCTTTTAAGATAAATTATAAATTTTCCCCATTCCTTATTAAAATTTTGGTCTTCTTTTCAGTCATTTTAGCCATTTTGGCATAATCCATCAACTTGATCAGCGATCCTTAGAGAAGTTGGGGTGTTAGGCACAAAGAGCTTCCACATACTCTCTGTTAAGCTGTGAACTGGATCAGGCAATGTGAAAGCAACACCACCCCCCATATTTCAGCTAGCCGTGAATACTTTCAAAGAATGATCTCCACCATCCAAGACAATCAGAGAACTGTCTGGTGTGAAAGCTAATGCCAAAGGGTAAGAAAGACCCTGGGTAATGATAGGTTTACACATAGGGAACTCTTCAGGTTTTCCAAGGCAGAAGACTGCTTGGTTATAGCCATCGGTTACTATTACTTGACCTTCCCTGCTGAAGGTCACATCACTGGCATATATTTTGGAAGGAAATACTAGATTCAGGCCAAAAGTGTCCACCTGGCTTATGAGCTGCATGTCTGCAGCGAATACTTTCAGCATGGTGCAGCCACAGCTTGGTCCTTTTGCCATCGAATGCTCTATGACAGCAATGGCCCCCGAGGCCTGAGAAACAGCCACTTTCCTCGGGTCGCACAAATTAGAGCAGAGTTTTTCCACCCCCTTTAATTCCCCCCGCTTAAAGTCGGCTGTCAAGCGATACAGAGCACCTGCCACCGAATCGGTCATGATCACATCGTTCTGAGGTGTGGTATCCAGACCCCAAGGTAAACCGAAGGACTCGGAGATAACCAGCTTTCCCCTGCCGTTGAAGTCGAACACTTTGACAGAACGATCCCCGCTGTCCGTGACTGCGATATGGCCGTCCAGCGTGATGGTGACATCGGTCGGGTACCTGATGTCATTTCCTGCCTGCCCTCTTTCTCCAAACTGCTGTATGACGCGCCCGTTGAAACTGAACAGCTTAATCCTCTTCTTGCCGTCGTGAGCCACCGCTAGGCAGGCAGACCTCTGGCACACAGCAATCCCTGTCGGGTTGACCAGGGTCCCCCATCCTCCGAAAGACAGGTGAAATGTTAAGACCTGAGATCCTGGCATCACCACATCCTCAGCTGCTCCAACGGTCCTTCCTGAAACCGGAACACTGTTGGATGAAGAGTTCAAGATCTCCATCAGGTGCAACAACGGCAAGCAATCGCTGGTCTCGGAAGATTTGCAAGCCCTGCGGCAGAAAGGGCACTCTAGCTTAAGACTCCGGGGATGGGCCAGTGATGTGACACACTCCAGGCACATGACATGTCCGCATGGCAAGTTCCGGGGCCGGCGCTTTTTCTGCTGGTTGTATTTTTCAAAGCACACTTTGCATTCGAGCAGACTGTTCTCTGTCTGGTCCAGCAGCTCTGTCGTGGTCTGCATGCTGTCACTGGCCTTGGCAGACATTTGTGCAACTCTTAAGAGGATTGTTGCTCTGCTGGTGGTGTCCTGTGCCATCTGGTCACGTGGGTGGCAGTCACAAGACCCTCTTACATCAGAGAGAGAGGCCTTCGTGCAGAGTGAGTACAGTGAACTCGACAGCGATATTCTGCAATGTCAGCGTTGGTTGTAGTTTGCTGCCCCCTTGAGGAAACTTTACGATAAAGCAGCAGATTCACAAGGGCACCTGCCATTCATGTATTCGCCTTCTCTTTCCACTGTTTATTTTTAGCTTGCGTGAAAATGGGAATAAATATGCTCCTGATTCAATTGCAATATGAACCTGAATACTGGTAAGGTGCCCATCTTTACCCGTATAAATTGAATCCAGCATGTTTGGGTTTACTGTACCATTCCACTTCTCAAGGATCACTGTTCAATTAAAGTCCACAAAAACAAATAAACGGTGGGGGCAGAGGCGGGGTGTAAAGTTGGTTTCAAAGGCTGTCTTGCGGACTTCAGCATGAGAAACATTTATAGATTTACTAGAGGCTCTGCCCTCAGGTATAACCAAAGCCAACCATTTTGGTAGTGTTTTCTAAAAAAAATAGGGATTATTAATTATTTAGAGAGAGATCAGGTACACCATTGACCTAAGGCTGCCCTTGTGGCTGACTCCTATTTATTTTGCAAATTTGCTGTCTCACTTTCTTCTAGATCTACTTATATCTAACTCTGTCCTCTCTTTCCTGCTGCTGGTGCTTCCTCTCCCCCAGTCGCTGCCCCCCTTTGTCCTCCTGACTTCATTCTCCTCCCATCCCCATGGAGTGGCTCCTATTGTTCAGCCTGGACACTGAGGTCCAGCGCTGAGGGCGGTTTCCTCACTGCAAGGTGAGATTACAGGGAACCAGGCAGAGGGCCTTCTCAGTAGTGGCTCCCGCCCTGTGGAACTCCCTCCCATCAGATGTCAAGGAAATAAACAAGATGTCTTTTAGAAGCCATCTAAAGGCAGCCATGTTTAGGGAAGTTTTTAATGTTTGATGCTTTATCACACTTATTATTATTATTATTATTATTATTCTATTCTTTTAACCGTTGCATAGCAGACAGAATATTTGTGTGGGTGTGAGTGCAGCTTGACATGTTCTGGATTGCTTCAGATATATTTTAATTGATTAAAAAACACAGAGCCTCCTGTGTGTGTGTGTCTGTGTGTGTTTTAACAAAGCTTTTGGGAGGTTGCACAGAAGAACCCTAGCCATGCCTGTGTACCTTAAATTCCCACCCCTTTCCCATGGACAATACTATTTCCATGCCTTCTAAGGGACCTTCATAGTGGGGTTGAGTGATAATGGTTTACCAATCAACTGTTCTTTTTTTAAAGGAAGTCCTGCCCTGCCTCATTTAAGTTGCCATTCTTGACAAAATCTCAACTTAGTTTCTCATTCAAGCCAAGTGACCATCCCAGGCACTGCTTTCAAATGACAGGCAGCCCTTTTTTTCCTCTTGTGAATGTTCAAACTGTTTAAAAAAGAAAATAGCATGAACACCATCCCGCCCTTGACAGAATGCTTCTCCGCTTTCCTGTGCAAAAGCATCCGGATGGAATACAGAGGGGGGAAAGTTCTCCCTTGCTACATGTGCCACCAGCTGCTTCTTCTGGCTGGTGCCTCTCAGTTCCCCCTCCCCAAGCAAAAGAAAGGGTTATTGTGGCAGCAGCTGTTTCCTCAGCTGCAGGGTTTTCTTCGCAGTATGGAAAAGATGCTTGTAATAAAGGTATGGAATGGCAGAAGCAGAAGGAACAGCTGAATCAGAAGGGTTCATATAGACACAAGGCAATTCAGGTAATGAATGACACCAGCCATTCTGGCAACTGAACTAATAATGCCTACACTGCCCTGTTCTATTGGTTTAAGCCAGTGGTTCCCAAAGGAGGCTGCTAAGAGGAAAGGGGACAGTGGAAAGGTGCCAAAGTCATTTTAAGGGGAAATCTGCAAGATCGGCACTGCTGACATGGGCTGACATACATCCAAATTTCCCCAGACATTTGACTGATTTCTGCAAGGACACTGCTGACAAATGCAGCATTCTGGATATGTCCAGATGTGTGGCAACCCTAGACTATCAGACTTTGAATAGCTAGTATCACTGGATCAAGTTAATCAATTTTAGTTTTAACTGGATTCTGAATCCAATGCTGCAATTAATTATCCCTGTTTTGAAGTTCATTGTGTTATTATCTTCCTAGTGGGATCCTTACAGGGTCTGAATAATGCTTTTTATAGGGTAGGGGGCAATGGGGATGAGTTTATGGAATCAAGCAAGTAAAAAGGTAAAGGTAAAGGTACCCCTGCCCGTACGGGCCAGTCTTGACAGACTCTAGGGTTGTGCGCTCATCTCACTCTAGAGGCCGGGGGCCAGCGCTGTCCGGAGACACTTCCAAGTCACGTGGCCAGCGTGACAAAGCTGCATCTGGCAAGCCAGCGCAGCACACGGAAACGCCGTTTACCTTCCCGCCAGTAAGCGGTCCCTATTTATCTACTTGCACCCGGGAGTGCTTTCAAACTGCTAGGTTGGCAGGCGCTGGGACCGAACAACGGGAGCGCACCCCGCCGCGGGGATTCGAACCGCCGACCTTTCGATCGGCAAGCCCTAGGCGCCGAGGCTTTTACCCACAGCGCCACCCGCGTCCCTGTCAATCAAGCAAGTAGTGGGCCCCAAATAAATTGGGAATGCCTGGTTTAAGTGATAACTCAGTGAGGCAAAGGAGGAGTGGCGATATACCTCATGTGGTTTGATCCATTCAAGGTTTCTGAATCAGAAGCACTTCACACTTTTATATGGCTTTCATGTTTCCTATGGCTAAACTATTTCAGGAAACCTTAGTGAAAGTACAGTAAGAGGAGCAGACATACACACCAGGAAGCCTTGATTTGCTGCTGTTCCCCTGAAAATGCTCACTGTGTTGTCAAGCGGCTCTGCTGAGAGGCCAGCTCTGTTTGGCTCCTACACTCTCTTAACCATTGTAATAATGTTGTAACTTTAGGAGCTGGTGCCTGACTTTGTTGTCTCTTCCCCCCTCCCACCCTTTACTCCTCATCCATTTCTCCTTTTGTATCAGGTGCTTTCCACTGTAATTCTCTGGGAAGGAGCTACTTTTTATGATTAAGCTTATGTCTGCTGTACTGAGAGGCTTTTCTGACTGAAGAGTGGTGTAAAAAGGTTTCAAACAAGCAGAACTCTCTCTACCCTTACACATTACATGTTTGCTGTAGGAAACGCTCATGTACCCATAGCAGGTATGAATGCCACATAAAGTATGTATCTTGAGAAGTGTGCATGCACACAAAAGCTCATACCAATAACAAACTTAGTTGGTCTCTAAGGTGCTACTGGAAGGATTTTTTTTAATTTTGTTTAGACATAAAGTAAAGCAGCTTCCACTAGGATGTGTTCACTACGCCTAGACTGTACCCTGAAATTGACAGCTTGAAGTTGTCTCCATTGTAACCTACAGAAATCATACGAGTATAAAGTTTTCCACTGCTCTGCTAATAATTTACCTTCAGTATTGCTGATTTTGGTGGTGACATGTGGGGCTAGGAATTTCTCAAATATTAGGGATGAACTGATGCTGTCACAAAAGTAGTGCAATCTATCTGGGTGTGTGCTTGCTTCCTCCTGCTCAACCTGTACATTTGTAAACAAAAAACGGTACAAAAAACAACAGCAACAACAACTCTTAACTCCAGTATGTCACCAGTATCCTTTCCTTAAATTGAAGCAGACCTTGTGAAAGGATCTCCTAAAACTGGAAAGCTGGCAATTACATAACAATACATCTCTCTGAATATAGCAACCCTATACATGTCTGCTGATGAGCATTAATATGGCTAAGGAGACTGCTTCTTTGCATTATTTGAGGACTAGATAGAAAAAGGTTGAGGTTGGCAACTTTACAAAACTGTATTTATAGTGAAATAATTCAGAAGGCAAAACAGACAAAAATAATGTGATTTTTATATGGAAATTCACATAAAATGAGTTTGAAGTACAGATTTTATAAGTCAAATCTAATAGCTAGAGAATTATTCATTTTGAATAATGTTCAAATGTTTAGTAATTGAGCTGCACCCTCCCACCTTTAACAGGAAAATCTTATACATGTTTACTCTGAAGAGCTCTCCATTCAGTGGGACTTATTTCAAGGTAATTGAGTACAGACCTGCAGCCCAAGATGCTTATTATCTTTCTTGGCTATTTTAACACAAGCATGTATAGCACCTCCCAAAAGTAATCTAAACCCCACTTCTTAGGCCTCTCTGCTAAGCCATCGACTTTTTCAAGACATGTAATATCACAGGATTTGCCTGAAAGGAAAGTAAGAACAAGAAATTACTGATCTAGAGACGGACAAGTAAAGCTTTGTGTTTTGCCAGGGATAAATTTTGGTAGAGACAAAGTCTTCTCACTTGGGCCATTCATTCGTTTAAGCAAGTAGAAGTTAAGCCCTCGCAACAGCCATGAATGGTCTCATATGGATGCCACGCTAAAACAAAGTTAGTCAATGTGGCGCCCTTCAGAGGTGATGGACTACAACTCCCATCATCCCATGCAGGCTGGAACTGATATCGGAGTGGTAGTCCACAGTACTTGGAGAACACCACACAGGCTACCCCTGAGCCAAATAATAGTTGAGCATGATGAGAATTAGCCACATCAAGTTTAGTGTGCTCCCCACCTTTTTCTTCTGTGTAGCCATGAGGAGTTTGGAAGCTTTTCCTTCCAGTTTAGATTAGCTGCTGCTTGTCAGGTCATCCATCCCCAACAAACTGTGGTTAATCTAAAGGCAGGTGAAATATGTTCCTTTGCCTGCACAGTTTGACTCCAAATCACGCGAGCAAAAAGGCACGCTGCATTGTTCACGTATATGATAAAAGGTCTATGGGATACAAACACACACAGTGAGGCTGCATTTACAAACACTGTGATACCTGTATACAGTGATCACATTACCCTCTGTGCACATATTGTGCAGTAAGAAACCAGAGTAGGCAGCCACAGCACTCCTGGCAGTGACAGGGATAGCAGAACCAGTATTTTTATTAGGGTGTAACTCCTGCATCTGCTGATAGCAGTGGAGAGAATTGTGTGACGATGTGCAGACTGCACAGGCTGGAGCCAGACTTAGATGAAACTGAAACCGCACCACCATGCTCAAATCCACAGAGCAGACATTGTCTAAAGAAATTAGGGAGAAGCAAGATGAAGGATGCCACCTTTATGTGCAGCTAGGCAATCTGAAACATTTAAAGAGAATAAGGAATGGTCCAAGAATTTAGGTTAAATTACTAGGGCTCCATATTGAAGGTAACCTTGCATCACAAGGGGACAGGATCTGTTAGACTAGACGGGCAGGTTCAAGTTTCTTTTCCCTAGCACAAAATAATCAGCAGAAAAAAGAAATTGGGGAAGTAATGGTTTTTGAGGGCTCTGATACATTTCTGGTGTCTATTTTCAGACTCCAATGCCATCGGATTCTGCTTAGGAAGCAAACATTCTCAATCAGCGTCACTGTCTTTTGTCAGTGGAAAAACACCCAGTTTGCTCCTACATCGTGAATGCACGCTAGGTCTGCCACATGCATTTTGACAGAAGTCAAAACCATTGTTCAGCTGACTCACCAAATAAACGTTTCACTTCAGAATCAGGAACATAGAAGGGTGGACCTGAAAAAGAAACCAACCAATTAATAAGGAGAAATCAAACTAAGTATGGCTATAAACTCACTTTAAGAACCCTACACAAGTTTACGTATGCAACCTGTTCAATTTCAAGCCAGTTTAGTGAGGGCCACTTGTACCGCCAAACCTAGTTAAGAAGGATGGGTGCAATTTATGAGAAAGTGGGAAATTGCATGGGTAAGCCTTGTACAGTGGCTTGCTCCTAAATATTAACCTTAGTTGCATCTTTTTGAAATCAACTGGCAGTAGAAATCCACAAACACTTGGACTGTGCATTCTTTTATGTTGTTATCCCTTGACCTGCTATCTTGTTTTTGCATTGAATTAGGAACATAGAAAGCTGCCTTATGCTGAGCATTGTCTACAACATCTGGCAGCAGCTGTCTAGGATTTCACACAGGGCCATTTCCAGCCAGGGATTGAACTTGGGACTCTCTGCATGCAACGCAGATGCTTTACTGCTGAGCTACAACCTTCTCCGTTGTATTTTAACTAGAATTTTTATAAGTTGCCTGGAGCCCAATTTTAGAATGAAAAAGTAGGCAAGTAATAATGGAGAAAATCAAATGTGCACTGGGGTCACAGACCAACAGACATTTGGGAAACCTGACTTTTCAGTCTTGCTGAACGTGTGCTGCCTCAAAATCTCATGTTGGGCCCATGCCTGAGTTTCATAATCATCTCTAGTCACAAAAGGTCACCCCTTCCCAAGAAACCAGGCTGCACCTCCATACAAACACCTTTCTGAGAATCAGGCTAGACAATAAAGGCCTAGTCTCCAACCCTATTACCACCACTAGAGGGGTAAGACAGGGTTGTCTATTGGCCCCAGCATTGTTTAGCTTTTACATTAACTCACTGGTGACTCACATGGCCAATGATGCTTTCCACCCCCCCAAATTAGCAGGCCGATCTCTGAATGTTCTTCTGTATGCGGATGACGCCGCACTTCTTGCTAGATCCCCTAATGGACTGAGGAGAATGTTGCAAGCTCTACATGAATACTGTGATCAGCATGAGCTCCAACCCAACTATGCTAAGACCAAGATCATGGTCTTCTCTGCCCGACCGAGACTCCATCGATGGTCGATGAACGGGATCCCCCTAGAGCAGGTTAACTGCTTTAAATATCTGGGACAAGTAATACGGTCAAATAGGTCTTTTCTGGCCCATAGAGACTATATAACAACTAATGCATCTAAAGCATCCACCCAGATTAGATCTCTATATGCTAAGAATCAGGCTCAATCAGTGAAGATAGCTTTGAGACTCTTTCAAATGAAAGTCCTCCCCCTTTTTTTGGTGGGCATCTCTTTAGGTTCCCGTAGGGATTTTTTGAAACTGGATTCTATCCAAACGCGATTCCTTAGAGCCATCCTTAGGATTCCCCCCTCGGTAGCGGGTGCGGTTATGAGATTAGAGGTTGGCTGGCAAGCTCTACGGTATGTGGCCTTGAAGACAAAGCTCTGGCTATGGCTCAAGCTTTGTTTTAAACCAGTGGGTATTGCCCCCTTGATATTGAGGGACGATTTCCAATCATCGTGGGAAAGGGAGGTCATTAACGAGGTTCAATCCTGCGGATTGTCTCACCTTTACTTTGAGTCTATGACGTACAATCAAGCTAGAGCTGTGATCTCCCGGAGACTGAGTGATATTGCCAGACAAGAGGACATAGCCCAGGTAAAACCAGGGATGTTCCTAGGGGACCAGATTTATCGGACCATACCAGCCCCCTACCTTGCAGAAATCCACTATGTGGAATACCGCAGACTTCTTACAGCGGCTAGATTAAATGTCCTTGACTCCGCGATATTGTGGGGAAGGTACAGGGGCGTACCATATGCCCAGAGAACCTGTCATTGTTCCATGGGTGTGGTTGAGTCCACCGAACACATTCTCTTGACTTGCCCTTCTTATGCAGAGCTTAGACAAAATTTTATAGACCCACTCCTATGTCAATTTAGCTTCCTACCCGGAGAAAACCAGGTTTTACACTTGCTGAATAATGTCACTAGAGCTATACCTTCCTTGGTGGCCAAATTTCTTTTTTTAGCTTTTAAGCGTCGCAAGACTATAATTGACTGTATTGATATGGGACTATCTGTTTAGCCCATTTTAGTGTTGGCTAAGTTCTAAAATCTTCCTGGATGTTTTAACTGTGTATTGACAAATGTACTTTTTTCTGACTGATGGTCGAATAAAAGGTTGATGATGATGAACCAGGCTGCATGATTCATAAGTAGGATTTTCACAATGTCAAGATGGAGTTCAGTCATAATATCTTACCTTTATGTTTGCTTGGGTCATATAAACAGGTTGCTAGTAGACAATGACACCTGCTGTCCATTAGTGATAATATCAACTGGCTATAGCTAAAAAGAAAATTAAGAAGCCCAAACATTGTGTCACTTCAGGCAGTGGATTTTAACACATCACACAGTTCCCACTTCCCCAAGCAGTAAGACCTTCCTGGATTCAGTTCCCTTTGGAGGAGAGGGAACTTGAGTTTTACAGCCTTTTCAAAATACTGGATTTATTTACAGAGAAATAAATGCTAACTGGAGAAAAGCAGCATTTGCACTTCTATGGAAGTAGTAGATTTGCTACTCCACTCAGTTTCTTCCTTGCAAACCTATCTGGGCATTTGTTCTCATCATGCTCATTTTGGGCCATTAACAAGCAATCTCCCTAACAAAGAAAGGATTGCCCCAGCACTGTAACAAATCTCCATTGCAGGGCCACTGTAACAAAGCTCTATTATCTCCCAAAATCTAGCACAAAACTTTGACATTTGTGGGTTCATCTTTAGTGGAGCTCTGTAACAACAAAGTACAGAGTATTGTTACAGAATGGGAAATGGACAAACCTGGGCCTCTGCCTCCAGTTCACCTCTCGTAGGCCCTGCCCCATTTGCAAAACCAGAGTCCCTTAAAAGGTCAGGCCTTCTGGCCTGAAAATGAGCACTTCACCCACACTCCATGTGGCCCCTTGCCTGTTGGATTGGTGTGTGAGGCAACTGCTTTAGGCTTAACTTCAACAAGCCAGGGATTTCCATTGCTATTCCATTTACAGTCATACCTCGGGTTGAATGTGCTTCAGGTCGAGCGCTTTCAGGTTGCGCTCCGCGGCAACCTGGAAGTAACGGAGTGTGTTACTTCCGGGTTTTGCTGCTCGCGCATGTGCAGACGCTTAAAATGATGTCACGTGCATGTGCAG